AGTAGGAATGCATACTTTGGTAGCACTCATAACCAGTATTCAGCTGATAAGGAATGAATCCTGAAGGGCCAGGCTGCAGCCTATCCAAAGCAAAACCTTCTGAACTGCATGGGAACACTGGCACCATGTGTTTTTCTCCACAGATCCACTCCTGTTGCAATCATTTTCGCTAACATGCTAACTCTCATTTGCTAACGTGACACAGGAGGATGGCATTTGCCACAAAAGAAAAACAAACACCACACACACATACACAAATTCTCTCTCCCTCTTTTCCAAAAAAAACACAAGCAAAACCACAGCAATCCAATAGTACAAATTCAATGCAGAAACACAGATAAGCAATAAGGGGAGCAAGGCAGAAAACAAACACAAGCTTAACAGCAATGCTATCATACTGCTTACTGATTTCATAATGCATTCATGTTGCACATGCAATTAACTCCCTATACAGCTTTTAACATCTATTTTATCACTCCTTTTAACATCTATTTTATCATTCCTACAAAGACTGTAGGAAGTAAAGTACTTTGGGGTAACTAAACTAAAACGGTTAATACTAGTACTAGTGAGCATAATTACATGCAGAAAGTATATCATAGTGTTCCAAATAAACTGTGCAGTATGAAAAAGTTACATGCTTGCATGTAGCATTCAAGAAGCAACTATAGACCCATGATGTCATTCTTAGGTGGCCAAGACAACAATTAATCAAGGTATTTGCAGCAGCGTAACTATTTGAGCAGTTGCAAATATTTATACACCAAGCTTTTAGTGTGATTATTATTCTGGTGGTGTTACTGTCCACCCTCTGAGCAGTCACTGAAACAAGCCACATGGCAACTAGAGCACCAGCTGAAGACACACAACAAAACATAATCTCCATTAAAACCTATCCAGACATCTGGACAAAGATCAGAAAGGCTACAGGATATTTACTTGCCTAGCAGGAAAACTGCCAAAAGAGAACATATCAGGTATTCACTGTGAAGAGATCTAGTTTTCCCTTACATAGTCCCACAGCCTACATACCACTTCGATCGCTGAATTTTCTGTGTGCCAGATATATGTCTAACAGCTTACTGCCACAAACTAGCCACTAGAAAATTCTATGGCTGAAAATCTTTAAATCTTGATCCTCAGTCACGGTGAGCCCACTGCAGTTTCAATCTGCATTTGGAGGGGGGAAAAAAAAAAAAAAAAAGGAAAAAAAAAGGAAAAAAAAGTGGGTTATCGCGGCATCAGAGCAAACCAATTAGAACTGTCAGAGCTGTCAGCACAGCATCCTGCGTGACCTCGATCTCAGAAGAGAAGGCAAAAATGACCTCTGTGGAAATATAAATTTCCACTGATACATCAGGTCACTCATTTGAGAATTTCTAAAAAAACAACAGCTCTCGATTTGATGTCTATCTGGGTAGAAAGAAACTAGCTGAATAGTTTGTTGATAACAGGTGAGTAGAAAAATTGTTGTCACAATTCACCGGAATTGTGTCATTGGAACACAATTCTCTGTGTGAGCACAGAGAGGAAAAATCGCAACAAAGAGCATATACTTAGATCTATTACAGAGTTAAACAACTCACTGCTCAGACAGCTCAGTAGAAAATTTTGCCATTTAAAATACTGCATCATAATGAAGCACAGAAGTTGCAAATCTGGTAAAATACTAAGTATATACTTAACGTCAGTTTCAAAACATCAAACTACTTGAGCTTTATGTTCGAAACCTTTTTTTTTTTTTAAAATATTCTTTCTCCCGTTTGACAACATTCATTCTGCAGTTTACAGTGAACATTAAGTTTGTACGGTGCCTTGGCTGGCACAGAAGACTGAAATCAGAGTTCAAAGAGAGGCTCAGCAAAACTGAATATGATAAAAGGGCTGGCACAAAACTCTCAGAGCTTGTTGAATTCTTATTAGTGAAAACTTGGTATTGTCTTACAACTGAAAAAGAAAAAAAAAAGTCCGTAAGCGTTTTTAACCGGTTCACTGAGGCCTAGTTTCATTGTGCATCTACTTTAGAAATACTCTTCTGTGTAGCTGAAGAAAAGCAACCATCAACTCTTAAGTGAAAAACCCAGTTCTAGGTGAACCACTATCTGACGGTGTCTCCCTTTCTCACTGACAACGCAGAGAACCCAGGGAAAGCCTGCCTCAACAGGGGACATACCTGGTCCAAGTGTTCAGATGCCTGCTGCAGTATGCCCAGAACTGCCGCTACCATTTTACTTGTTTAAAACCCCAAAGTTCATCTTCCTTCTCCTCCATTTCTCTCTCTCGAGTCATACTCTGCTAGTTAGAATGCGGGCACATTTAATGCATGCCAGAGGATGAATTACTGCACAAAATGCAGATGCCACTGCAACATTTATTAAGTACAAGCTCACACAGACAGACACACACACAGAGAGCCAGAAGAGATGTGGACAGAGAAGACCCCAAGGGTCTTCAGCCTCTTCAGTACAATGAAAACAGGGATGATGGGACTATGAAAGTTGCATCCTCTTCCTCAAGTAAGAATCAATTTAAACTTAAACCTTTCCTGACAGATGCTGGATAGTTTGTTCTGTATGTTTGTTTGTTTTAAGCTCAACAACAGAAATTTCATCATCCTGGAAAATGTACTGCATGGGTAAGCTATCTTTACCATTGCTATTCTTTTTTTTTCCTCTAAAGTCCACATGTACATCTTCTGGTACAATTTAAATCCACTGCTTCCTAGAGGACAGTAGACCAGTTTATACCTGTGTGCACAGTCCCTTTATACATTACGTCTCTCTTTTTCATGCCTCTCTTCCTTCCTTCAGACACCAAAAAATAAAATGCCCCAAATCCTTTTTTTTTTCCCTTTTCTTTTAAGTGAGAAATAGTTTTTTCTCTTTCTCCTCACCACACACACAGCACCCCCTTTGAAACCCAAATGTTCTTGATGGGCTAACACTGCAGTCTGAAGCTGGTCTACATTTTTTTGGAAGTACACAAAATTGAGCCATTATTCCAGTTGAGACCTTACAGGTACAAAATATAATAGGAGGATTACTCTACCTGTATTGCCAGATATAGCACTGGTCCTAAATCCTAGGACGCAGTTTCCTTAACAAGAGCATGACGTTGCTGACTCACACTGGATTTGTGATCTACTGCAACCTGCACCTCCTTTTCCACTGTTGCACTACTGATCCCCGCTCATTGCACATCCACAGAGTCAACACTTTGCACTTATCCCTGCTGCATGCATCTATTAATTCACACCCTGTAACCAAGACTTTCCAAATCCCTGGCCACCTCCAGAACTGCCTGAAGCATTGCCTTGCTGTCTGTCACCTGAAAACGTAGCATCAATGACCTTCATTCATCATCAGGAATACCAGACTTGGGATAGACCTCTCCAGAAATTACACTCTCTCAATTTGACAAAAATGAACAAACAAACAAACAAACCAACCAGTATTTTAAGTTAACAAACCTAAGCAACAGTACACTATCATCCGTTTAAAAAAAACATTGCATTTTGATAGCAAACTTCTATACAATTAAAATAAAAATTAGCTTGAGCTTTCATACTGCAGAGCATGCAAGAGAAGACACTTACTCAGAAGGGGGCCTACAGTGCTCCTCTATGCAAAGGCAGTGCCTTGGTGCTTTTGTGCATACAAATCCTCATTTTTAATTCCTTCCCTATCAGGTTTTCTTTTCTTTGAGACAAGTTGTTCTTTAATCTTTTTTAAGTTTTTATCTCCAAGAACCAGCTTTCTTTCACCTCTGCAAAGTGTCTCTTTTTAATGATTCCACTTTCTTCCTTACCATTCTTTTTGCCTCTCCTTTTTGGAAGTTCACGTGCAAGTTTAACTTTACTCTACTTAACACTTATATA